ATTTTGAATGCAACTTTCCAACTTCAAATACAAATAAAATGTATTGTTGGTAATTTCATTATAAATTGGTATTGTTAGTAATGTTACTATAAACAGGTATTGTTGGTAATTTTACTAGAAGATAAATATTGTTGGTTGGTTGATTTTATTTAGAGGCATAGCAACATCTATGGTTTATTGAATGCCGAAATCTACATATTTTGTACGTAATTTTCTGCTTTCAACTAAATATATTTTGTACATTATTTAATACTTTCCGGGTAAAGGTAATTCTTTTAGATATATAGTTTGTAGATAGTAAAATGTATTGTGGGTAATTTTACTATAAAAATGTATTTTTATTTTTTAGTGTTGCACTTATTATCATTTTCTTTAAAAAGTATTCTTGGTCATCTTATTATAAAAATATACTGTTGACTTTTGCTTGGAGATTAACTATTTTTCCATAGCTGGGACTCTAACAGGCTCCACCTCAGACCAGGGTAGAACTTGGAACAACATCAATTATGTTGTTGATCCACGCTCTTCGAAACTTCCTGTTTTCCGATCAGAGGTCTTTCTTCAGGTTGTAGTTTATCTTCATACCCAAGAAGAGTTATTTTTGTATAATGAAATGATTCCACAATAAGTAAGTTTCTATTACATCCTTCTATTCTTACGTGTATTGTTGCTGTTGTTGTTTGTGTGTGTTTTTTTTTAATCTTTAAACGAAAGGTATTAATAAAAAAGATGAATCTTGATGTAAAAGTCATCGCGAGGAATGGGAACAGGTCATAAAGAGGGCTTGGGAAAATTGTGCTTTACTTGGACTAATATATGACTTTCATATCACACATTACACCAGAAATAATTAACGACAAAAGAGGGTTATAACTCTAGTTTATTTTCGCCATTTTGCCTGATATTTGGCAAGTAGTATCTCGTAAAGTTGTTTTAGTTGTATATGGAAGGAAAATTAAAAACTTATGGTTGAATCCATTTTTTTTATCAAAGTTCAAAATTACCCTATGCAAAAGTATTGGATACATGACACTTTTTTCAAATTTCCAATCGAAACTTTGTATTTTAAAAGACTTTAAATATTCAAATTTTCGATAGTATTGGAATGTTTTCTCTGACCAATCAGAGAAGCACACAATTGTTTACAAGATAGTGCTACTAATCATCTGAATCTTTGATTTGCATTCTGCAATTCAAAGATTAAATATAGCAAAAACTAAAGTATTATCCAGAGATATGCGAGATAAAATCATTGAACGTCATAAAGGAAGACACGGTTACCGAAAAATTAGCAAAGAAATGAATCTAGCACTAAGTACAGTAGGAAATCGTACAGGCTTTCATTCAAGATCACCAAGAAAAGTGCCTTTACTGAAAACCAAACATGTCAAAGACCGATTAAAGTTTGTCGAAACTTATGAAAAGAAAGATATGCAGTTTTGGGAAAAGGTAATCTGGTCGGATGAAACGAAAGTTGAACTATTCGGAAGGAACACAGCGACAATTGTTTGGCGAAAAAATGGTTCTGCCTTCAACAAGCACAATACCATCCCCACAGTTAAGTTTGGGGGTGCTTCAATTATGATATGGGGATGCTTTTCATCCAAGGGAACTGGTGAGTTACAAGTTATCCATGGTAGAATGAATGGTAGCATGTACAGAGAGATTCTAGAGACGAACCTTCAGAAATCTGCAATTTCTTTAGGACATGGTCGGAATTTCGTGCTTCACCACGACAATGATCCCAAATATACCGCAAAATATACAAAGGAATGGTTTGAAAATAATGGTATTAGTACTCTCAATTGGCCAAGTCAGTCTCCTGACGTGAATCCAATTGATAATTTGTGGAATACTTTAAAGGTTAACGTTCATAAGCGCAATACACAAAATATCAAGCAATTAGAGGAATTATGCAAGGAAGAATGGGGTAAAGTAACGGTGGATCAGTGTGGAAAACTTGTGGCCAAATATAGAAAATGACTGGAAGCAGTGAAACAAAACAGAGGCTACGCAACAAAATATTAAATTGATTTATCCAATACTTTTGCATAGGGTAATTTTGAACTTTTATAAAAAAAAATGGATCAACCATGAGTTTTTAATTTTCCTTCCACATACAACTAAAACAACTTTACGAGATATTACTTACCAAATATCAGGCAAAATGGCGAACATAAACTAGAGTTATAACAGAAAATAACATGTATCCAATACTTATGCATCTCACTGTATATATATATATATATATATATATATATATATATAGTGTGTGATTGACGTTCAGATGCCAGATCATGGCCGACAACATCACAGACTATCATTGTAATTTGTCGATAATCTTGAGGTCTATATTTGTATCACTAGACCAGATATGCCGTTTAATAAATTTATATTGAAATTTGATTTTTTTTTTTAATACAGGAAAATTATCGAAAATATATACTCAGAGGAAAACGCGTACCTAAGGATAGAACATTAATTAAGTAAACAAAATATAAGAAGGTATAAAACATCTTCTTACTGGATTCATTTAACCTAATCAGAAGTCCTTGCAGAAGTTATTGGTGAAGAAAATCTTAACAAAATACGATAGGCAGATTATACCGTGGTGATGTCAGACAAGTTAATAAAACGAAACAAAAATAAGGGTCTAACTTCAAATTGCATGAAGACAGTATATGATGGCAGCAATATAATCATACCAAGTGGCGAAATGTCCAAATCAAGCTAGTAGAGAAATTTAACTGGGTTGTCTTTTTACTGTTATTAAGCAATAATTTGAAAGAACCCTTAAGGAAAATTCTGGTCAATAACACAAAAATTCTTTTGAAATCACATAGTCGTAGACCACTTAATATTAGAGAATCATTACTGATTATATATCGTTCTTACACTGTTTAGGAGTGGGGATGACGTGTTAAAGGTTTTCGGAAAATAGAAGTAATCCCCTGGTCATCCAGTTGCACAAAGACCGACAAAAAAAGCATAGACACCTCCGTAAGAACTCCACAGCTAAAATACTATGTAGAAGATAACACACGGGAATTCACCATGCCAAAAACAACATCTTGGTAATGGTTATAGATCTAGCTGAAAGCGCCAGGTAGAATAATAACTTTGGATATTTTTTTATATTCTTTAACCCCTATAAAACGACAAAATGTTAGGGTGTCTGAAAAAAAAACTTCATTAGAAATTAATTAAATCTTCCTTGTCGGCTGTTTTCAGCGCAAAAAGCTTATCCGGGAGAGGGCACATTCAAAACTTTAGATGACCAGAGATTTGCACCTGGTCCCTACCTTCGGTGAAGTTCTGACATTTCATTGGGGGAGGAACTACCTGATTACATTCAATGCCTCGAAAACCAAACTAATTACATTCCATCATCCAAGATAGAATCTTGAACTATCACCAGTCACGATGAATGCATGTTCCATCAGGGAGAGCGCATGCCTTGATGGACTATTAGGTCTTGAACTCAACCCAAACCTCAAATAGAACACGCAGATACAAACTATTGGTTAAAATCCTCGCTTCCTTCTACCGCTCCAGTAAGCGCCTGACTCCACCTTCTATCTTCTACCTTCACAAGAAACAGATCAGGCTTAAAATGGAGTACTGTTGACATATATGGACAGAAGCTGCAAGTCGTCACTTTCCAGTTTCGATAGAGTTCAAAGGCGTCTCCGCGTCCTTGTGGATAATAAATTATATTCCACTTTTCAACCCCCCTCTCACAGACGAAAACTTCACAATCCACTCACTGCTCTATCGCTGCTTCCATAGAAAGCTTGCGCAGAGAACTGATAGGAACTCGTGGAGAGTCATTAACATGTACGTCCAGTAATGACATAACACATAAAAGGCCAAATAATTACTGCTTAGATTTTCTGTGTGCATAACTATGACGTTACATGAATTGATCGAGGGATTCGTTTTTTTTTACGGCTTATCAACCCTTTGCAGGTTATTTTTAACCAAGATACATTTTTAGATTTAAGAATATTTTTGAAGATAGTGATGATTTACTGATACAGGACGTACTAATTAACCCATAGCGGGAGGAGAAGAGGCAGATTGTCTACTTTCCCAAAGGTAATTGC